TCTGGGCAAAAGATAGGCTAATTTAAAAGGGGAGTATACCAACTACCGGGACGTGCTCAAACAGAGATTTTGAGATTTCCGATGGAAATGTTTGTTTATAAATGGTTGCCGTGGGTTTCAAAGCTATAATAATAATAATTATTGGTTTAAAATTGTTGTTATGGTAACCGTTATATTATAAGAAAAACATATATTATTTATAAAATAGCGTTGGTATTTTTAACGGGCAACGAAGTGTACGGGATCAGCTAGTATATTATATTTTTCACTTATTTTTTCTTATATTAATTATTAGACAAATATTGTGAAAATTGTATGGGTGACTGAGAGAAATATTTATTATTTCAAAATAATACTAGCTGTTCTTGAATATTTTCATTAAAATGCGTTGATATATATTATAATGTGCACTATTGTTTATTAATAATTTTCAATATTACATTGGTCATACTTATTTATTATTCTACAACAACACACAATATGACTTATTAATAGTGTTATTTATATATATACATCCGAGCTGCTTGTCCATCATCCACAAAAAAAGTATACATTTATGAACTTTCAGTAAATCACGGTTATCGTCAATGAGTTCACGTCGTTTATAGGTCAATAGGAAGGTACTCAAAATAATAACGGAATCAATATTAAAATTATCGAAATAATCGCATACATCAGTAGACATTAGGTACCTAGGTAGTGTTTATGGCACATTTTCAATGTCAATCAAATTGTCAACTAGTTGACATTGAAACCGCGGCCATTGGTGTCATCAATAAAATATTAACTGCAACAGATAACCACAGTAAAAGTATTCTCATACATATAAAATAAAATTGGTATTACATCAGGGCGTATGAGATATTATTATGGACGATCGTGTGTTTCCTGGTGTATGGTAGTATAGGTATACCTATTATAATAGTATAACACCTATAGGCTATAGTACAATTCTGTGCGTGTTTAGTGTATTCGGTACATTAATTATTACAACATGACACTTTTATTTATAATATTGCAATATAGGTACCGTAGGATTTTTAAACTTCCAAGCGCTTTTCGCATAAACGCTGCGAGCAGGGGTGGCGGTGGGGGGCGGGCAGTCGGGTTAAATTGCAGACAACTACCCGTTTGACTGGTCTATTACATGATCAAACTTGTTAAAGTTTCAAGGATGTATTTCGATCAGATAACTACGAGCGTAATAATAATAATGGCCTATAATAACAACTATACCGGCCGATAGGATTTACATTGAATTCTCGAGGAAGTGCAAACGAGACTCTCTATAGACAACAGTGCAGGGGGAAAGAGAGATAGAGTGAGAGTGATAGAGTCAGAGAGAGGAATACGAATATTGTGCGTGTGGTCTGTTAGATTTTATCGTGAGATGCAGAAGAACCAGGGTACCAAGGTCGACTCGGTGGCGGCAGCGAGTTTAGACTGACTTTATCTGTTTTATGTTTTTTTATTATTTTGTAAAAAAAAATATTATTACAATATAAAAACAACTATATCGTGTAAGGCTTGGACGCACAGGCATGACAATAATATAATGATAGGTATCTAATAAAACTGTAATAAAACTGTTTATTTATTAAATAGTATTTTAATTTGTTTTGCAACTATCTATTTTCAAAAATAATATTAGCATAAATTGTGAATAAATTATCAGATGTTTACGTGCACTCGAAAAGTAACAGCGTCGTATAATAGGTTCGTTTATGACGTATAGAATAAACTATTCGTTAAATATTTATCACAATCTATACTTTTGTATCAATCAGTAAATTTGAATAAAATGATAGTTCGATCAGACTGATAAAGTACCTAACTCATATTTTTACTTCTATATATTTAAATTCTGCCATTATACCTACCATTAATGTTAATTGTACGTGTATCCTGCATAATATATGACACACAGAATGTCCTCGTTATATGCAGTAATGATTATTGATTACTAATAAACTATAGCCAAAACGTCTATTCCCTATAATATAGTGCACACGCTATTTTTCCAAGAAACTCGTCCAAGTACATTTGTGATTTATTGAAATTCATATTATGGGTTTCATAATAAATTTTATTGACGACAACATTATTAGTTGTACCCACTACCCAGGTACCTAACTCGTTTGCCAAGGTGTAACGTATTTATGTATTTATGTTCTAATAGTGCGAACCAATAGAGTATAGACTATACTCTTAAAGCGATTTTAACGACCGGACAACATTATTATTATTGTAAAAACGTTTAAATAATTATAAAGAAGTTACACCTTATGCTCATATAAAGTATTAACGTGTATATCTTAATAGCTTGTAATAAGAAAATGTATACCTACAGCACTTTAATAAACGCTTGTTATGTCGCATTGTCGCTTTATTATTATATAAATACAACGAATGTTTAATAAGAATAATTTTAAAAATTAATATGTTTAGCATTAAACGAAAGCATAAACCTATATTTTAATATATACATAATATATATATATAATTTGTATGTGTTATAATATAGGTAGATTATAGGTATATTATATTAATTATTAGAGAATAGTCATTATTTAGTCATTCAACCCAAATAGTGTACACTGTACAGTTATGTATTTTACATTTTTACTGTATTAAATTACAGTTATTCGAAGCTGTAAAATGTAATCATATACCTACTTAGGTATATATCAGTTAACTTGAACTATGGCTACATTTAATAAAACAAATAGTCGCTAAGTAAACTTTCCAAATTCAAACTATACGATATAAAAACAACATCAATGCGTGTGGAGTAAAAACCTAAACTAAAGTTATCTTTTGATTCCATCTGCACATCAGCCCGCTGGTTGACAATAAGAATAGAAAAACAATACCTTCATAGTCGGACAATATGCCCAGAAGGGAATCATAATGTAATCCAACCCTTAAAATTAGCTGAGTACCTACCTAATGTCCTAACACCTATATTGTACATAATATATTGTACCTACATTATTTTGTACAACAGACATTTTAAAAGCTTTAATAGCTAAATAACATATATATAGCCAAATATTTTGTAGAATTACGAACGAATTTCAAATGGTACTCGTATGTCATGTATAGAGGTACCTACGTTTATACTTAAAAAGAGGCTGACCTTAACTGTATGTCATATTATTTTCCTGTCCATAAAATAAGGCACCTATACTATAGGTACTTTGGGTTAACCCAACCTATAGGTGACTAATAATAATAGAATATATTTTGAACGACGTCGAAGGTTTTAATTTGAATGTGGTGTAATATTATTGATATACCTATACTAATTACGGCAGTGTACCTATAACGTAGAGGAATTAAGATGATTAAAACAACTCACATAGTCAGATAATAGGTATATCAATATTCAATAACAATAAATATTGATGTGTATATGATAATATATGCATATTATTATTAAATATTCGCAAATCTGGCGGAAACCACATGTAATCACCTATACACATATATTATAAAGATTAAAGGCAATGGTTCAATTTCAGACAGAGGACGTCCGTATAAAATTACACGTTAAGGGTACACTCTATACATAAATATGTATTAATTGTATAATTTTATTGTATACGTATACCTATATCGGCGAGTGCACCTCCAGTGGCGCCACTCTTGTGTAATATAAATAATATAATGTAATAATATTATGTGCTCGCGAGCGAGTGCACACGTCGTCTCGATCGCAATTCGATAGTCTGACGACCCGCCGAAAATGGCGCTTACCTATGGATTGTACCATCGCTTGCCCGGCAAACGTCCATAAGCATTACTTACACGTCTATGTACACACGATCGACCGGGACAGTATATCTATATACTAACACAAACACACACACATCATATCATATGCTATATAAATATCTGTATATATATATATATATGTAGGTATAATAATATATAACTATAACACGACCAGACCACACACACGACACTCGCGGTATACCACACACTCACACAAATGCAACACATGCTCCACTACGCTGACATTATTTTCTGACACTATATTTCCACCGATGTGTCGTGTAACATATTATAATATACCTACATATATATATATATATATTGATAATAATAATAACACATCTCTTCGCCGACGCCACAGTCTGTTCTAACTCCGCAGTAGTCGGGTATCTGCAGTCGCGTCAGGCGCCCACTTGTATTTTTTACTTCATAATTAATAACAATATAATATAGTGTGTACATATTGTAATATTATTATGGTATAGGTACAATGCAGGGACTTTGCGTAGTATTATGTGCGTAGTGTTAATGTGTACCTATGTAGAATTCGCGTGAAACTAAATATTTTTTACGGATTAGACGTCGTCGTCTTGCTCATCTACTAGCCGTATAATCAAAAATAATAATTGTCGGGGTCAGTCAGCATATAAACGTTTTACATTCCTATAAATGATAATAATATATGTTTATACTCGACAGAATCGGCATAATAATAGACGCTCGAGATCAACGTTCTTCCGCGATCCCGTCGAACCGTAAAAAAACCAAATCTTATAATAATAATTACTAGCGGCAAATTCGTATACATTAATACCGCCAACCGCCATCATTATTAAAGTGTTTTTTTGTTGTCACGATCGTATATGAAATAAATTTAATACAAAATGTATAATTTTCTCATGTAATATAGGTACACGCCACACGCATTACATTATAATAACTTGGGCCGATCGTTGTCGTGTCCGACAAGGTCGCTATTATTGAAGATCAAGGTCCGAGACGTTGAAATTATATTATAATTTACTTTATTAAAAATCTTTTATTATTTCTTTGGTTTTTTTTTTGTTTTATTTCTCGTTATTTTTTTTTTTTTTTTTACTCGTAACAAAGGGGTTGTCCGTGAACTTCACAAATATTTGTATTTCCCCTTATTTTTTGTCGTTTTTTTTTGTTGTTTTAACATAAAAGTAATATCCAGACGCGTTGTCCAGCCGCCGTTTGCCATGACATCGACACTGTACAATAAGATTGGACTTATACCCAAACAGAAACCGATTAGAGTAATGATAATGGGACAACCAGGCGTAGGGAAAACTGGTAAGACACGTCCTAACAATAAATACCTATTGTGACCATTATATTTATTTATTATGTTTACTCGTTTGGACACCATTTATAATTACATTAAAAAAGATTTATATAAATATATATGTTTCACAAAGATGTTCATTTGCAGACCATCTCTATTCATACATAAAATACCTATACCTATATACGGATATTTCATTTTAGGATATATATTGACAAAATTGCATCTATGAATTTTTGCTTAGCACCCCCAAATTGTTGATGTCATCATTGAATTTTTATTGACTATAATATTATGCCATAAGTATTTGGATATATTTATTTCTAAGACCTTATCATTTTGATAATAAGAACAATACATAGGTACCTATCAGAATAATAATATAGATAATAATATGCATTATATGTTTTAGGTAATTGTTTATGTTAAGACTAATGCGAAGGTGTATACAATTAAGATGTATGAATGAAGGGGGGGGGGGCAAAGAACCCCATTGATCACTTTGGTCGACATAAAATGCACCCCCATAAATTTAACCCAAATTGCGTCTATGGCAAAATGAGTTTAATTTATTGTTTTACCCTCTTATATTATATTATAATATAATGTATGTGTTGCAGCGCTATTGGTGCGATTCGTGACGAAAAAGTTCATTGGTGATTACGACCCCAACCTAGAAAAAATGTACACATACCAAGTGTCCATGGAATCGGAAATGGTTAACTTCGAGATATTGGACACAGCTGGATACGTACAAGACGTAAGAAAATGCCAGTCGTTTTTCTAAAATGTTTCGTTTTTTTATACGCATGCCAATTTATGACACCTGTTGAATTTATTAGAAATCTTGCAACTTGGAAATGAACATGCGCTGGGCAGACGTGTTCATACTGGTATACTCCATTACGGATAAATGTTCGTTTGACGATTGCAGTAGGCTCAAGTTTTTGATTAACTACAATAAAAAGAAACGTCGTCTCTCCACCAAAGTAAGAAATATGCGAAATCATTTGAGTCACCGCTGAAATTATGATATAAATATATAATATAATATGATAGCAGCTTTATTATAGATATACACAATAATATACGAATTCACTTATAGTTTACACCTACATAAATATAGGTACATTTTTGAAACGATTTAATTAGTATTTATTAAATAGAATATTTAAGTAGTGTGATACTGTGATATAAATAAATAAAATACACATATTAAATATGTTTTTAAACTTAAGGGAATGAACTGGGTTCGATTATATACGAATTTGTAAAATGACAGCATTACAGTTACGATATTGTTTTAAAAACATAATAATTAGTAATTAGTAATTACATTAACAAAAACATGATTTTACATGAATATTTATGTATAAAAGTTGAAAGCCATTCAACTGTATATATAAAGTATACAGTGGATAATTTTTTGAACATTTTGAGAATCTAAACCCGTCCTTGTAGTTTGGAGTTATTTAACTTTGTGTTCTAAGGATAAAAGTTCCATGGTAATGGGCATATAAGATATGGAGGCTATGGAGATTTGACAATATTTTAGTCATTAATATTAATAATTTGTAAAAATTGGCCAATTATAGTGAATACTAGATCCAATTGTACGTCTAATTTTGTAAAACCATTTTTAAGGATTTTATAGTCCTATATAGTGATATATTATGCTTAGTAAGCAAACATTTTTTTAACTAAGAAACTACTCATTTGAATTTTGAATTAGGTACATCGAAATTTTCAAAAAAATGTTTACTAAATAATTTACAGTAAAAATGGGGGTTGTCATTTGAAAAAAAAAAGTTTGTATCACCACAGGACACCCCTTAAGTAGTATAAAAAAATTCAGGAACTTTAAATATGGTCTTCAAGTATATTTAAAAATTATAAAAATCAATATTTGATTAATACATTATTAAAGGGAAAAATGAGGGTGAGCATGCTTGGTGAATCACTCTGTATATAGACACAAATTTGACGTTGACAAATTATTACTATCATAAAATATTATTAGTGGGTACCTGCTATTATAGTATAATATAAGCCACGTATGGCTTAATATAAGCTTCTCGGCAAAATATATAATATGTACCTAATTTAAATAGGCTACTTCTTAAATTGTAATGCCCAAACGTGGTATTTTTTGGATAAGGTGTGCCCAAACTGTATGTGTATTTTGAATACCGAACCGGTAACAATATCCAATCCTATTGCACAACTGTATTTTTCCTCATAAATGGATTTTAGGGGAAGAGTTTTAACTTTAAGATTAAAAATGGGATTTCTGGATATTATTGTATAAGCAACTTTATTACAATAATCTGCTTTAATATCTCCATGAGGCACTAAATTACATTACCTACAACCCAGTGGCGTATTTACGGGGGTCCATGTGGTCCATACCCCCATTGTCACCTTAAATACCTATCTAAACATCTAATATATAGGTATATTAATATTTTCAGGAGCGAAGCCCCCAATTAAATTTATTTGGAAAATTAGCTGGACCCCTCCATGAAAAATTCCTAAAAATGCCACTGCTATAAAACCTACCTATAACCTATGATATATTACATTATTATAGTAATTACTATGTACTAATAGGTTACAAGCAACCAAGATGCATAGGCGCAATTTTGGGGTCTAGAGGTGGGGCTTAGCCCTCTAGTTGTATTTAAGCCCCCCTAAGTTTTTAAATATATTCATTCTTAAATCCACCTAATAAAAAAATTATGTGGGTCTGTATTGATTTTATAAATTTAGCCCCCCCCCCCAAATCAGTTGTCCAGATAGCGCCTATGCCAAGACGATGATAGCCGCCTACTTTATAATTTACTGAAAGCGCCTTCCGTAAAAGAGATTGATAAATAGTAGTTACTTAATCATTTTTAACTATAATTGATGAATATAATATAAATTATTAAAGTCATTGTTGACTAACTAAAACTATTTTTCTGTAATTATTTCTTTTGGGTTTTTGTTACACCTGTAAGACTATATCATCATAAATAAAGAGGTATCATAAATTCATATTATATACACATTTTTCAGTGTTATTAATAATTGCACTACCTATAATCGCATTACCTGTGAATTCTCATACATTATGAATTATATACTGCTTGATAGTGGGTACCTACCCATAATGTAACAATTTATCATAAATTATTATACTCTAAGGATTCTTTATTTCAGGAAGGTGTATATTTTGAATTTTTCACTTCAGTGACCAAATGTTTTCCTTACACAAACTGGTTTACCTAATACGTATTTTAATTAAATATTTTATTTATGAATTCTATTTTATAGATATTATCATATGCATAAGTATATAACCTAACCTTTTACCTTATCATATATCCTAAACAATATTATTTATACGTAAGTGCAACAGTTTCATTTTTTTAAGGTTTCTCTGTACCATACTTTATGTTCTTATCGATCAGGTTCGTCCGTCGTGGCACTCATAATAGTTATGATAGGTAATCAATATAAGTTATCTATAAAGTATAGGTACCTACCTACTAGCTGTGTTATTAAAATATTATTTTATACAATTTGTGGTCTTAAGATTTGCCATTCGGACACATGTGCTTTGTCATTCATGTGTGATTTGTGTATCATTATTACATTTCATTTATCATTGTTTATGCCTATTAATGATATTCCTGTACTTAACTTAACTGTGAAATAGGTAGGTACCTACTAAATTTCGTACAGTTACTATTTTTTAAATAGCTATAGCTATACGCCTATACTATAACTACTGTGTTTATCACATCTTATTTATTTTATGTCTATTATTTTCATGTGTAATATTGCATTATTACTTCCTGAATTCCTAACTTCCACAAATTACTTCCTATAGATTTTATAGACATTTACACCTACTATACCAATCTATGGATAGACTTATAATTGATTGTTAGGATTTTTTTCGTTTAGTTTTTATTTATTATACATTTGTATAATAAATTAGAATTGTATATCTAACTTATTATACATTTGTATAATAAATTAGAATTGTATATCTAACTTTAAAATGAAATTATTTTGATGTTTGCCTACAATTTTGGTTTTACCAAAGTGAAAATAATTTTTAAAAAACCAGAGCACTCACTGCTGATATTGAGTGTACTTAGGTCACTGTAGCTAATTATTGTGTTAAATTTTAATTAAATGATAAATTATTGTATATTTCTATAGGAACGAAAAACCATTTTATAATATTTATATTGCAAATAGAAATTTATTTTTCCATAGGAAATACTTTAGATTAAACCAATTTTTGCCGAAACTAAATGGCAATGGTGCGTACAATATATTATATATTATATAGTAGTCAACCGGGCCAACTTGGGGCGCGTGCTTAACTTGGGGCAAAAATATTATCTTTTAGTTTTACCTCCATAACGGTCTCTTATCAATTAATTGATGTGATACAAGTATTCTGTTGTTATCTTAGAAATATTTAAAATCATTTTACAAGTGTCGCAGCATCAAATTTTAAACGTAAGTATTAATTTTTATTAATTCTTTTTGTGTCTAATATCTATCGTTTTGAAAAGGTCCAAAAACTTACACTAATACTCATTGAATGAAACGCTTTACATAAAAATCAATAATAAAACATATGTTCGGATGCGTGTAAAATTTACTACTCCATAATCTAAATTATTATAATCCTGCATACATATCTGTAAATTACGTTTAACTCATTTAGTCCAAATTGGGGCATTGTTCTTCAACCCTGGTCCAAGTTATACCTAGGATCATTAAATTAAATTTAAACAAGACTAACTTAGCTAAAATTTAGTCTAAATACTACTTAGGTATATTTATATTTTTAACTATGTACAGATGGGTAGATGCCGGAAAAAAATTGGTGGACGAACATACAAAAATTTTTCTGATCATGATTTGCAAAGAGCTGTTGCTCTCGTTAAGAACGGTGTTTTAACTGAGCGTCAAGCAGCTGAACAATTTGGAATTCCAAAGTCTACAATTAATAGAAAGAGAAATAAGAAAAATTTGAAGCCTGTTGGGAGACCTTGTGTTTTATCTACAATAGAAGAATCTATGTTGTTGGACGGACTAGTTACAGCTGGGAAATGGGGATTCCCTTTGACATCAAAAGACATTGGTTTTATTGTAAAAAATTATTTAGACACTGAAGGCCGTAAAGAACAAAGGTTTAAAGATAATTTACCAGGTCAAGACTGGCTAAAATTGTTTTTACATAGGCATAATGATGTACTAACAGTTAAACTATGTGAAAACATAAAGCGAGCTCGGGTAGCAGTGAGTTGTGATACTATAAATTTATTTTTTGAAGAACTTACTATATGTTAATATACACTCACCAGGTACAAAATATATTTTTTAAATTCAGAAAATTATCTAGTATTTTTTAAAAATTTAAAATAGTGCCCCAAGTTGGTTTGAGTAAATTATAAAATAGATTTTTCATAAGAAAAACATGAATGCCCCATGTTGTCGATATTCGGTACAACATGGGGCAAGCAGAAAAATAAAAAAAACACATAGAAAGAATAATTTGTATGATTCAACTGCAACAGAAATTAATAAATTAAACCTTAACTAAAAAAAAATGTTATATTGAAAATAACTGTAGAATAATTAGACTTAAAGTTATTTATAATAGAATTTCAAAACTGCCCCAAGTTGGCCTGGTTGACGGTTAAAAGTTAAAAAGACGGTTAAAAGTTAAAGACGGTTAAGTTGGCCTGGTTGACGGTAAATAATGAAATCTATGTTAGCTAACAACAAACAAATTACATAGGTACATTTATTTATTATAATTAATGAAACAAGCCCTTTTATAAATTATAAAAACACACAACAAAATAGGTACTTATAGGTAAAAAATAATATTAAATTAACAATTTAAAAAAAAAAAAAAAAATGTAATTTAAAATAGATACCAAAGTAGCTATGTACCAATATTTAGGAATGATTGGGGTCCTCGTTGGCAAATTTTATCCTACACAGAACCGACTTGTTATATATTATAAAGAATTAGTTGTACTCGAACATGGAATTGGGAGAATTGACGCAAATCAGCACTATGAACCTTAAAATTCACTTCTGCTAATAGGTATGGAGCATCCAAGGAGCATTAAATCTTCCCAGTTCCTACTAATGAAATTATAGATAGGAATACTAAATTAGTCTGGATTCTTTTGTTACTCGATGTACCTAAGTCTATATCTATTGGTGTAAAATCGTGAGGAGTGAACTCGTCATTAAATTATTCAAAGTAAAATATGAGCATTTCAAAAATGTAAGCTGCACTAGCTCAATCTGGCAACTATCACGCTGTAATAATAGATATACCTAGTAACTATGATAATTTATAATATTATTTCATATTATGTTATTACTAACTATTATTGAGTATTGACTTATTATAAATCGATACTGCATTACCACAGAACGGTGGCAATAGGTTCGTGCTTAAATAGCCTAAAATTTATATTTCGTTTAATATCGAATTTTGTCGAAGCTTAAACTTAAAATGCTACAAATTGTATTTTTGAGATTTTTAGATTTCAGTAAGATTATTTTATGAGAAACCTTAAATTACATATTCTGATATTCAAGTCTTGACTATAAAAAAAAAATGTTATACATATTTTAACTTTTATGACTTTTCATAGTACCTATCCCTCAATATGTTTGAACTTTTTAAAATTGTTATAATACATTATAAATTAAATTTAGGTAGGTACTTATACTTATACAACTCATATGATAAATGCATATAACACACACAGTACGCAATTATTTTATAACTTATATAATATTTTGAATTTTTTAAATCCTGTCTAGGTACATATTGTAATAATATTATCTCAAATATGAAGTATGAATGTTTATATAATATGTACTTTATATTGCTATTAACTGCAAAATAACTTGTATGCGTCATATACTCATATATGTAGTTGGAGCTAGATACTATGTAGATACTCGTAATCTAATACTGACATACTGTAAATGTTTATTGATAATCTCAAGGATCATCCATTTGATGTGCCAGTGATACTGGTCGGTAACAAAGTGGACCAACAGTATGATCGGATGGTGACGTACGCCGAAGGTCGGAAACGGTGCCAGGAACTTGGGTGCGTGGCTTTTCATGAGATTTCAGTGAGGGAAGATGTTGATCAAGTTCGTGAAAATTTACTTAGTTTTATAGCATTTTTATATTTTTATTGTATTTATAATGTAAACAATGTATAGATTATAGATATGGTACAAATAGATTATATAAATATTTTAGGCATATGCAGTGTTTAAGGAAGCGTTCACATGTTGGAAATCAATGTCTAAAAATCCAAAACTAAAACGTTCTTCTTCTGATCACGGTGCAGAAGCACTCTTCAATTCAGCATCTAGATTCATAAGTATTTACATAAATTTATTTATTTACTTTTAATATATACGGTCATGTGCCCTTAATTACATAAATATAATGCACAAACTTAAATTTCATATTTACAAATTAAAAAAATTCATATACAAAATAATCTTAAAATTATTAACTGTCAAAAGTAGAAATTAGAAAGGATTAAGGAAGAATCCACATGGGCACAATACATTAACCGCCAAACGGATTCATTGTACATGTAGTTTACGGTGGAATGAGGAATATAAAAAACAGCAAATAAATTGTGAAAAATCCAAAATTTAAAAAAAATTTAACGACTTTTATAGGAAAACTGTGATCCACTCAGAGTCGTATTCTGATAATTAATAATTATTTATGTATAACACCTTCAAATTCAATATTACCACCATCCTCGCTGATACCATTTTCAACAGTCTCAAAGCTGCTTTTATTGATTTTAAACGTAATTTATATTTTTAATCGAAGTAAGAAAACGCGTTTAAATATATTTTAATAAACACCTTTAAGGTTTTACTATTATTTTCATTATGTAGGTACCTGTGTGCTTTTATTTTTTTATTTCAAACCCTTTTTGTTGCATAATATGAAGTTAATTAAAAAATCTATAAGTCAAGGTTGTAATATAATACGACTCAATTTTTAAATCAAACGGAAAGGGTTAATTAAAAAATTGTTCATTGTGTTACGCATTGGCAAAAGGGTTAAAAAATAGGATTTTTCAAAAATAAGTAAATTATTAAGTGCTGAACGCAGTAGGTATCAACAAAAATAAACGCAGTCAAGTTATTAAAGGTCATCTGGCTGAAATATATTTTAGTGTTACCTTAAATCGATCGTACTGTACATACTATAATATTGTAGGTATAATATTATAGTAAACTGATTAAAATTAATTTTGTTGTTAAAACTAGCTAATAAATACATTATTTGTATCTAATTTATCCTTATAAAATGCGTAGATAAATTCTATTAATGGTATATTGGTATATACGCTCCTGATTAATATTCAATGTTACATTTAAAATGTACCTACCTAGTAAATATTTTTCGATACAACCGTAATTTCTATAGCTGATAATATAAAATTTTGTAAATGGGTAATACATTAAATCTACTATAAAATCTAAGTTTCTCAATATTATCGTCGAGAAATAATAATATAATAATGCTCCTTTATTCCTGCAATTCGAAATATTAATATTATTAACACTTACCTAAACTTTTATATTCTGACCACAAGTTACCAGCAGTGGCAAATTGATAAGTAGGTATCTAGGCATTGATATTAATATTATATTATACAGACACAAAACACTATTTAGTATTTTGTAAAGAGGAACTAAATTAATGTATGTTGTTCTTACATCACTCATCTTGCAGTTCAAAATATATAAATCTCTAAAAACCGTTTAATAATGTTAGTTGTTACCTATAGTCAATTTTAGATTCTGAGCGGAGCGAGGAAGCTAGTAGTTTTACAATGGTGTTTTTTTTTTATATCCTGTATACAAAATTTCTACCAAAAGGAGTGCTTCGATTTCAACATATAGTACCTTATATTTTAGCAAATTGGATCAAGATTGTACTTTAAAGAGGTCATTTTTCGATTTTCTTAAAAGTTATTTAATGCCACGAGAAAAACTATTGAAAAATTAAGAGAAACCGCTAAAAATGGGATTTTAATATTTCTAATGATTTGTTTATCACCGTAGCAATGAATAAAAAATTATAACATTATAATATTAATTCAACTTAAAGACTATAATAAATGATAAAAATTTAAAAAATCCAGACTGATAAACCGTCTCCACTCGGAATCGTTTTTCTTATACAATGATATTATATCATTGAATTCAAGTTTATGCAATACATTATACATTGACCCACTTGTTATCTACTGTACAGCAGAGTGATATCCACTTACCCGCTTTTTATATTTATTTTTTTTTTAAATTAAGTTAAGACTTCAACATCTAAGGCTATTAGCCTGGGTTATTTAGTAGGTTTTATTACTGTGGGGAAGGTACGGTTGGTTTAGAACACGTGTAATGTGTATGTATGTGGTAAGGATTTGCCACTGAAAATCAGGTGGTTACCCATCTGGGAATTAGTGGTACAGGAAGGCGCTGACACTTAGAACACATCAGTGACTGAAGCCAGGCACCGAGCCACACCAATCCACATTTTATTATTATCGCCACTGTAATTTGGATTGATAGTTTATGAGTTTACCTATCTATTTTAAGTTTAAACTAATTTTTAGCTTCAGCTCTCACTGGTCAGTCGCTATAAGGAGCTGTTTTCACCCATATATGATATAGGCCACCAAAGTACTATTATTGAATAAAACCGTAGGTACCTACCTACCCGAAATTGAGTTTTCATATCAATCTGAAATCATGTCATAGTCCTAGGAGAAATACTAAAATGTAATAACGTGACAACATGAATATAAGTATCACAATTTGCAGTATTCGGACCGCTTCAAATAAGTAATATTTTCGTACGATACCTATAGGTCACAATGAAGATTCGCAACCTAACCGTCTTAGCCTAAAACTACATGATTCATAGAAAAAAGTTGAAAAAAAATATGCACATTCATATATAATAATAATAATATAATATAACTATTTATTTTTTAACTACTTATAAAATTACCTATTACATTGAACAATATTATCACGGTTAGATCATGGCCATCGCTGCAGTTAAACATAGGTACCCACGCCGTTTAAAAACCTAACCTACACATAGATACGTGTTACCGACTTATCGTCATTATAAATTATAATATACCATCGTAATTTTAACAGATGTACCTACACCTACATTTTAATTATTAATTTGTGAAAGAATGAAAAATAATGTAGACACAGGATATATAAATACATATGACTAAATGTAATATACCTATGTATGAATAACTTCGTGTCGTAAACAATCGTTTTGGACTTCACGGGTATATAGTCTCATATGACATAGTAAAGATGTAGGTATACATTATTATATTATGTTATGTTATTTTGTAAAGTTTTTAATGATCATCATTAAAAAATAAAAAATAACACTTATAATTTATAATAAGTATGTAGGTATTTATGGTGGTTGCCTGGTAAGGGGGGGGGGGTAGATTCATAAATATGTACTGTTTACTGATTAGTACTTGCTTATTAAGTTAAGAGGACGTCACACCCACATGTGTTGTCTCCGTCTTACAATTAATGTACCTACCTACAACACAGCAAAAACTGTTTTGCGCGGGAAAACTTTTCTCTCGCCATATTTGTTATAGAACTACCAAATTTTCACAACACGTAAAGAAGAACTTTATCTGAGCAACAGAGTGCTTTTTTAATAGCACTATCCAATCATTTTTTATAAGCAAATAAAAAAAAAAAACCAAATTTTTAGAAGCAAATAACTTTTATTGGTATCTTAAATATAGGCACGCTTTTGCATGGATAATTTTCTAGTCCCTATATGTTCCGAAATTTTGGAGCCACTACTACAAACACAGAAAGACAAAATTTGTCCCGCGCAAACCAGCTTATGCTATATTGTACATTTGTAAGACGGAGACAACACATGCAGGTGTGACGTCCTCTTATAAGACAAAGTATAATATACGTTCAAGTATAAAAATAGAAAAATGGGAACTGTTTAGTTATGCACCGTTAAAGTATCGCCAACTGTGATTGCTTGTAAAACGGTGAAAGCACCATAAACTTAGAACTTTTCAGAGTCACCCATCATCAGCGACTCCCCTATTACAGTACAACCATTTTAGGCCACGGTTCGTCTTGACTCTAATCGTTCTATATAATAAGGCAGTGGCGTAATTCGGTCGTTTTTTGGGGGGGAGGGGTTGAAACATTTACCCCGTTTACCGCATTTTATAATAATAATAATAATAATATATTACAATTTACAACACGAACTGACGAACATGTTATCATAATAATATTATTATATTCGTTACAACAATAACGCAGGTTGGCCGTTAGTGTTCGGCGACAGCGCGTGCAGTTCATCAAATCGTTCGGAAGACACTCCCGAGTTCCGTGCCAGGGCTTCGACGGAAGGACACATCCGGTCGGGCGCGACGGCTTGCCGGTATCTACCCACGTTGTCGGCCAGAGGAAGTATTTGCTGCTACTTGAAAAAATGAGAGTCAACACCAAAGCGTATTTGCGTGCACATAATATTGAGAGGTGTTATTATATTATTAAGCTATATAGGCATATATATCGCGAGTGGCGTCGATAAAATAATGGCCTTTGTGCACAATCCAATATGATATAACACCATCGATTAATGTATTATGTACCTACCTACGTTAATACACGTATTATTGGTATTATTATTATTGTTATTTTATCACTACATATTACTAAGTAGGTACTGAGTACATAACTATTAAGTATGTACTTATGTAGTTATGTACAATTTAATAATGTAAACCATAACGATCAATGGGGTAGGCCGTGAAATTAAATTGATATATTAAAATAATATTATATTACAATATTAAATAGGTATGTAAAATATTTACTTATTGTTACATATGGTTTTTTCGTTTTAGTTTTAGTTTATTGAACTTAGAATATTGACTAAAACTATAACTTTCAACTGCAGTTTACCAAATTGGTACACGGTTTGGCATTATAAACTTGACGTGGTTAAGCAGTAATGTTCTACAAGCAACAGATGCTGAATTTCTTGACAAAGTACCAAATACAATAATAACATTAAAAGAAACAGCGAAGAGATATTCACAATTTGGAGAGCAGGGATGCAGGGTTATCAAAAATATTTTTGCAAAACAAATAGATGCGCTTCAGCGCTTGTCGGAAAAATAATGTACCTACTGCGTGTAGTTCAAGATGCCACGAAAAAACCACATGTAACAATAAGTAAATAATTTACATATTTAGTATTGTAATGTAATATTTTTTTAATATTTTACATATTTTTTTAATATTTTACATATTTTTTTAATATTTTACATATTTTTTTTTTTTTTAGTACCTAGGTACTATATAATAATTCAGTTTACATGTTACATACAACTTTAAAATTAACTAAACTTAATATGTAAAATAAGTAAAATGGTTGTTATCATATTATAATGATTGCAGTTCTTAAAAGGCCTAAATGCTGTAGTTTGGAAAAATAATACGTAGGTACCTAGTTCTCAAACGGGCTACCCCATTGCAAATACTGAATAGCCTAGGTAGTATTTTCGCAAAAAGACTAATATTATCCATATGGCCTACGGGCTACGACATTATTTATGTATGTTATCTATGGTGATAAAATTAAATTTTCAAAAATCGATAATAGGACATTTCAACATTTGTGTTTACTCTCTTAAACTCTTACGTAATACCATTGAGTATAAATAGTATAGGTACTATACTCAATGATAATACGTATTATAGGTAGGTACTCAATGTTTACTAAAGCCTATAGGTAATCTTAAATAATTGTTTTCAATATTTTGTACCTGGAGGTTTACTGGTATCCATTAATTTGTATACATTATATAGGTAGGTACCTGTACTGGCTATACTAGTATACTCTAGTGTCTAGTCATAGATGCAAATAGGGGAGAAGCTCTAGGGGCTAAGCCCCCCAAAAATGTCCATAGCCCCCCAAACATGTCCTACATTTTGTTGCTAATTCAATATTATCGAAGTAAGGCTTTAGCACCCCCAAATCCCAAACGCTATTTGCGTCTATGACTAGTGGGCTCAATACCCCCCCCCCCCCTAATGTCCAAAATTAGTGTTATAAAATTAGTACCCGTCCACACCATATGATTATTTTTTTCAAAAATAAAATTCCTCAGGGCCCAGGTAGATAAATGATAATGCCTTCAGACCTCAGTTGAAAAGATCACCTTGCGCGTTTAAGGCTTATATCATAATATAGGTGTACAATAATACAAAAACACATAAATAAGATATAATTACCTGCACGGACACGCGGATATGCCTATTATATCATACATGAAATATGAATATGATACAGCTATATAGCTGTGCGGAACTGGCCAAATAGGTATACATTATACCTATATCTACCTATTACCTATAATACAATATAGATATACGATATACCTGCGATACTTGCTACTTGACTCTTGCACCGGGTGGTGGCAAAATAAAATAGGTATATTATTTTTACCTCCATCGCATAATTATTAGACATACAGGAAACGGTTTTTACTACGTATCAAGTTAATATGTGTGTGTTACATGTAATAAATAACATTATATACACAGCAGCATCGTAGTAGGTAGGTATATTTGTTATTTATATATACAAACACTACGAGTTATACACTTAAACGTGAACGTATTTTAGATTTGGAAATCGTGAGTCGTGACATTCATTTTTAAATTATTATTATTGTTAGGTAACTTATTAGTACCTACACCGTATAAATGTGTATAATTTATAGTTTTGAATTTAAACATAATAATATTATGTTTATACATATATATATCATATAATACATATATACATATATATTTTTTACATTATAATCGTATACTGGCGATTGGGGACTGTCGATGGAAGTAGATATTCGATGATATACCTTCAGTATTTAGTTGCCCCCGAGTGTATATCATCATTCATCATGGCGGACGCATGGTCACGATGAAGTTCCTTTTAATACATTATTATTTATTATTATACTTAATAGCCAAAAATCAAAATATTATTTTATAATTAGAGCTGGGATTTTTTTTATTGCTTAAAAAAATTCAAAAATGACTCGAAAAACTCAAAAAATCAATTATAAAAATTACTTTAAATGTATTAAAAAAATATATTACAAATGTATTTTTGTTTTTTTTAAATAGTATTTTGAATTAGTATTGGTATTATTAGTATATACATTTTTAAAAATTTTTACAGATCCACTTACTATAGACTCGTCGACTTTTACCGTAGACGTAGCCTAGACTCGTTATCTAAGTTTTGACATTTCATACACTGAATAACAGTTATTCTGTGTTTCAAGTTTCAACTATTGTCCGATAATATGATAGGTACTACTATTAGTACTTATCTCTTTTATAATATATTATATTTATACCAAAACCATGTGGGTGTCTAAGAATCTTCAAATACAATTTCAAATTCTGTTTCCGAAAGCTCAAAAAATGTTCTAAAATCTCTAAAAAAATAAGAAAATTACCAAAATGCAAAATAAATTTTCTTATTCAAAAATACACAAAACAAATTTGTGACGATACGAGCATCGCACAGGAAACTTTGGAAAACAATGCAGAGTGCATCGAAATCCCAGCCCTAATTATAACTTATAATCTATCGTGTAGTTATACTACACATCCAAGCAGTCTTGAATCCAGACAATTTTTCTGGTGGGGGGCTCACTTTTGTTTTTTTTGGGAAAGTCAGTACATACCTATGTACCTAAAATACTAGTATAATAGGTACGGTATAAAAACGGAATATTTTAGTGATCACCAGGTAATCCGGTAATCGGGGGGGAGGGGGAGGTAAATACCTCACTGAAGTATACCTGGAGTCAACACTGCATCCAATGACGTGTAATAGGTATACCTAGTACCTACACATGAGTATCTACATATTACTACGATACACGAGGACGAGAGCCATTCATAAATAAATTACATACGAAAAATGAAGTAGAACAGAAGGTTCTATCATCTATACTCACTATAGGTATAATATGTATCATGTAAACATGCGTGTAATATAACGATGTATTAATTTCTTAGTGAATTGTATTAAGTCATGACCTAATTAAATAAGAGGAAACAGTTTTAATACACTTACTACACAGTTGTCTGTACAAGTCTATAACATGTCCTTGATAGAGCCGATTGTGACCTTCCCGATGTTATATACTACGTACCTATATATCATGGTAGATATTTCTATTCCCCCCCCTAATTTCTCTATATTATAGTAATAAATTAAGTGCGAACAGATCAATGCAAATTTGGCCACTATCCAATTACCAATGGATGGATTATAAGTTCAATAATTCTGTTTTGAGTATTGAGTGTTTAAAAGTAGGTACCTGTCCTAAAAATTAATTATATCTACAGTATTATATTAATGTAGTAATATAGAATAATAAAAAAACTACTTTAATAGTAATAATATCATAAAATAATATACTTATAGTAATATATAGGCTGACGGACCCGTGACCGTCTTAGTTCAGAATCATTTTTTGTATGTCTACAATAGTACAATGATTTTATATCATTTAATTAAAATTCAACACAATATCCATTACAGTGGAGGAACACGTCATGACACCTAATATGAAACCTACCCTTTTTATTATTATAATTACAAATTCAAATATTTAAATATAAGTACTTCCAAGCAGTGGCGTCACCAACATTTTATCCATAAGGGTTATCAATTGTCAATAAAAACATTTTTGCACTGTCAATAAGTTTTTAAAAACATAATACAATGTTCCTCGTAAGTTGTATTATTTGATTTTTAAAAATAATTGTTGTATTTGTTGTAATTTAAAAACAAATTACTGTAAATACTTAGTTTTTACCAAATGTGTATATTCCCATTTTTCACTATAATTTTAAAAATATGTTGAGTCTTTAAGAGCTATTTGAAATTTTTATAAATGTATATACCTACTCAATTAATGCATGGTCTAAAAGCTTGACAATTCAGTATAAAGTTCCTCATATGTCATAGTTATAGTTTTTCTAAAAACAAAAATTCTATAAATATATACAAATACAATTTCTTTTTATGTCTTCTTCATCAAATTTGGAAACAATTTGACAACTTAATGAAGAATACCTTACACTTGAAACTTATATGTTTATTATTGTTTTATTTTTATAGACACATTCACGTTTTCAATAATTGTAGATTAATTTTAATGTTAATTAATTTTATACAATTACACTATGAACATATTCACACCATTCCAGAGTAATGTGGTATTGACTCAAAAATCAAGTTATTAACAATATAATAGTTAATATAAATATAATAATATACCTTAACTATTATAATAGTTAAATATTAAAATGCAATTTTTTCAGCAAAAATTAAATCAACCTATTATAATACTATAATAGTAAAATAAACTACTTTAATTTTTAATAGCAATGCAAAAAA